AAAATCCTCTTGAGGGGGGTGGTCTGGGGGGGGACCTACCAACCCCGCTGAAGCCACCGAAAACCGTTCTCGGGGGGGGGTCCGGAGAGTGGTTTGGGGAACTGCCACGCCCTGTAGTGCGGAAGGGCTTCAGGGAACATGCTGCTTGCGGCCGTGCTGGAGCCCTGGTGGAGGCCTCGGTGGAGCCTTTTCGGGGTGCGAAAATTAAGTTTTGGGATGATCTTGGGGCTCCTCGGCCGCCTGTTGAGCCCCTTAGGGGTTCGAATCTCATCGTGGGGGCGGTCTTGGGACAGACAGGCCAGATTGGCCGCCTCTTAGGCCGTCTGGGCGCCCTCTTGGGGGCTGTTTCGGTGCAGTCTGGCGGAGCGTCTTGGCAATATTGGAGCGCCGGGCGGCAAGCGGAACGAGCAACACCGGGAACCTGATGGTTGTGACCGTGTGGGGTCCCTCGTGGAGGCCTCTGTGGGGCCCTGTCGGGGTGTCGAGGCTCATTTGGGGGGCCTGTTGGGGCTCCTCAGCCGCGTGTAGAACCGCTTTGGGGCGACGAGGCTCGTTTTGGCGCCCTCTTGGAGTGTGTTGGGGCTCTTTTGCACGCCTCTCGTGCCGTCGCCGCGCGTCGTGAGGCAGAGCGAGCGATTCATAAAAAAGCTTGAAAACCAACGGGGCGTCACTGACTCTCTCCTAGTGGAGCTCTCTCGGGGAGCAGTTTGGAGCCTCCTTGGGCTGTCTTGGATGCCTCGTGGGCAGCATCGAAGCTTCGATGGGCGCGCTGGGGCCGATTGGGGGTCCTGTGGGCCTCCTTTAGGGCCCTCTTGGCGTGTGCAGGCTCATCTGGTGGGACCTCTTCGACCATCTTAGGCGCTGGGCCAGTTTGATGCCCTCTTGGGGCGCGTTGGGGCCTTCATGGATGCCTGTTGTGCCGTCTCCGAGCGTCGGGAAGCGGAGCAGGCGACCACGCGAATATCAGTAAACAACCTATGGAAAATCATTGACGTTTGAGCACATTGAGACTATTTCGGAAATCAGTTTGGAACCTTCTTGGGCCGTCTTGGATGCCTCGTCGGCCGCATCAAAGCAATGGTGGGCGGCCCGTTTTTGAGCCCTGTGGGCCTCCTTTGGCGCCTTTGTGGCGTGTAGGGGGGCCGTCTGGAGCCCTCTGGGGCGATTTGGGGAACCTCTCGGGCCGTCTTGGTGCCCTCTTGGGGTGTTTTGGGACCCTCTTGGGCGCCCCTTGTGCCGCCTAGGAGCGTCGGGCAACAGAGCAGGCGACCACACGAAAGTCCATGAACCCCAAGGGAAATCACAGATTTTCACCGCTGGGGCCTGTCGGGGATCAGCTTGAGGCTCTCTTGGAGCGTCGTGGAAGCCACGTGAGCCGTCTCGAAGCAATGGTCGGCGTGCTGGGAGTACTTTGGTGGTATCTGGCATTATGTGGGGCATGTCCCCCTAAAGGCAGATGTTTGAATAAAAACGGGAAGCGCTCACAGAAATACCCGAAAATAATCTAACATATGCAGAACATCGTCCCCAGACTATTTTTTACTATTTTTGCATATTCCCCCTGTAGAGGGACACGTCCGACTTAAATCTGGCCCCCTTGGCAACCCATTTTAGTGGCCTCAGGGCCCCCTTGAGGACCCTTTGGGCGGGTCCAGGCTTCTTCCCCCATGCCACACTGAGGCACCGTTCATGGCCCCCCCTCCTCAATATCCTCCTCCTTGCCATGTCTTCCTCGGGCTGGCTGCCAAGCACATCTTCTGGGAGGACTCTCAAGGGCAACACGAGGAAATGCTGGAGAATTTCCTGCTCCGACGACGGGCGACGACAACCAGGTTCCAGGAAGGCTCCCCGGGAACCTGAAAGCGCGCCCGTGTGGGAGCCCTCCTGGAAGCCTCTGTGAGCCCCTCTCGGTGTGCTGGGGCTCATATGAAAGACTGGAGAACCTCCTGCTGTGATGACGGGCGACGAGAATCACGTTCCCAGAAGGCTCTCCGGATCCTGGTGGTTGCGGCGGTGTGGGGGCCATCGTGGAAGTCTCAGTATGGCCCTGTCGGGGTGTCGAGGCCCATTTGGGAAGCCTTTTGGGGCTCCTCGGCCGCGCGTAGACTCCTTTGCAGTTCCCAGGCCCGTAGTAAGCCTTCTTGCGGTGTGCGGGGACTCTCTCGTGGATGCCTCTTGGGCCGTCCTTGCGCCAGGAAGCCGAGCATATGACCAACTACAAAGCATTGAAAACGATAGAAGATCATTGCGGCTCTCTCGGAGGGCAGTTTTCAGCCTGCTTGGGGCGTCTTGAGTGCCTCGTGGATAGCAGGGAAGCTGTGGTGGGCGTGCTGGGGCCGTTTTGGAAACATGCGGGCCTTCTTTCCGGCCCTCTTGGCGTGTCCAGGCTCGTCTGGAGAGCTTGGGCGCCCGAGTTATCCGGGGTAACTCGGATCCGGGGTAACTCGGGTTTGGATTCCCGAAAAAGGAACCCGAGTTAGCCCTGACCCGAGTTTCCGAGTTACCCCTGATGATGTGGGGCTCTGGACGCCCGAGTTATCCGGGGTAACTCGGGTCCGGGGTAACTCGGGCTTGGATTCCCGAAAAACGAACCCGAGTTATCCCTGACCCGAGTTACCCCTGATGACTCGGGGCTCTGAAGAGCTGCCTTGAGCCCTCTTGGGCCATCTTGGGCGCCTCTTGGGCCTGGTTGGCGCCGCCTTGCGGCGCGTTGGAGCCCTCGTGTACGCCTCGTGTGCCGTCTCCGAGCGTCGGGAAGCGGAGCAGGCAGCCACGCGAGAATCAGCCAAGTACCAATGGGAAATCAACGATTTTTGCTTACTGGGGCTATTTGGGAAAGCAGCTTAGAGCCCTCTTGGGCCGTCTTGCAAGCCTCGTGGGCCGCATCGGAGCGATGGTGGGCGTGCTGGTAACGTTTTGGGAGCCACCTGGAGCCCGCTTGGGCGATTCGGGGCGCCTCGTGGGCCGTTTTGGCGCCTTCGGAGTGCCTTGGAGTCTGGTTGGGCGCCTCTTGTGCCGTCTCCGCGCGTCAAGCAGCGGAGCAGGCGACCACACCAGAATCCTTGACAAACCCAATGGGAATCAACAAATTTCGCCCCTGATGCCTCCCTGGGGGATCAGCTAGAAGCTCTCTTGGAGCGCCTGAGGCTACCTGAGCCCCCATCGGAGCAATGATGTGCGTGCTGGGGTCGTTTTGGAGCCATGTGGGTCTCGTTTAGGTGAGAAACTCCAAAAGACTTAGAAGACCGATACGAGCAATACTAATAAGAGCACTACTAACACGAAGACAAGCATAATACATACAATTAATGAGAATACTACACGTCAGGTTAGTAAACAACTAGCAAGACTAATACTCAAACGCGTACACAGACAAAAACAATTACAAAAACATATGCGTATGAATATACATAAATGTACATGTACAGATTCCTTCATGCATGCATGCATGAATGCATGCATTCGTTCACAGACAGACACACAGGCAGACAGGCAGACAGACAAACAGGCAGACAGACAGACAGGCATACACAACGCACACTGTACGCTCGCCCAGTCGTTTGGAACGGGACCGCGATCGAGCGGGCGAGTTGTCGACCTCGCCCAAGCCCACGCAGAGCTCGCGTGAATGTGACGCTCCCGCTCGGGCGCGGCGCATACTTCTCGCTCGCCATAGCCGCAGGAGCGGCAGCGTGGCCGCGCGGGAGCGGGTGAAAAATGCTGCTCTCGCCCATGATGGGCTTGTTTTCCACCGCCACCACCATAAGTACGAGGGGAAGGGGGTCCTCCTCATCCTCCTCCTCCTCCGCCTCCTCCTCCTCATCCTCCACATCCTTCCCCCCTCCAACTTGTGGTGGTGGTGGTGGGGGCGAACAGGCCCATCAGCCCGAGCGCCGTGCCGAGATGGTGCGTGAAAGCGGCAGCGCTGCTGCTTGGCGCGGCGTCGCCCTCGCCTTCGCTACTCTTGCCCGACGTGTGGCCGCGCTCGACACAGCGCGCCGCGCGAGGATGCCCTGGAGGCGCCGGGCCGGCCCGTGGGCGGCTCGTGTGCTTCCCCCTTCGCCAGAACATCGAGAGCGGGGCCGCGCGCGATCGCCTTCCGTTCGCTCTCTTGGAAGCTCTGGAGGGTTTCTCCGAAGGGCTTAGACGACCTGTCCTCCTACTCCTCCGCCTCCTCCTCCTCCTCATCATCCCTCCTCCTCCTCCTCCTCCGCCTCCTCCTCCTCCTCCTCCTCCTCCTCCTCCTCCTCCTCCTCCTCCTCGGGTCGTCTACGGCCCTGGGGGAAACCGTGCAGGGAGCTCTTGCCAGTCTCAATGCCAACTTTTGCGCCAGCATTCGACCTCTCGGCTGTGGAAGGGGGGCGGCGTGGGCGTGGGCGCCCCGTCCCCATGGCTCGCACCAGGCCCGGCTCGCTCGGCCTTCCTCCTCGCTCGCTCACGAGCTTCCGCGGGGGGCGAGGAGTCAAAGGCCCGTGCTGCCCACGCTGGCTGCCTCCTCGTCCTCCTCTCCTCCTCCTCCTCCTCCTCCTCCTCCTCCTCCTCCTCCTCCTCCTCCTCCTCCTCCTCCTCCTCCTCCTCCTCCTCCCCCTCCTCCTCCCCTCCTGCTCCTCCCCCCCCTCCTCCTCCTCCCCTCCTCCTCCTCCTCCTCTTCCTCCTCCTCCTCCTCCTCCTCCTCCTCCTCCTCCTCCTCCTCCTCCTCCTCCTCCTCCTCCTCCTCCTCCTCCTCCTCCTCCCTCTCTCCTCCTCCTCCCCTCCTCCTGCTCCTCCTCTCCTCCTCCTCCTCCTCCTCCTCCTCCTCCTCCTCCTCCTCCTCCTCCTCCTCCTCCTCCTCCTCCTTCCTCCTCCTCTCCTCCTCCCATCTTCCTCCTCCTCCTCCTCTTCCTCCTCCTCCTCCTCCTTCCTCCTCCTATGCTTCCTCCTCATATGTTTCCTCCTCCTCCTCCTCCTCCTCCACCTCCTCCTCCCTTTGTCCCTCCTGCCTCCTGCCTCCCCCCCTCGTCCTGCAAGTCCGACAGCGCCTTCGACTTGGACCGGATGGTCTTGCGGCGGCCTGCGCCCGCGGGCGCGGCCAGGGCGCCCCCTGTCGCCGCACTCTGCGCCCGCCCGCGCACACGGCCCTCCGCCGCCTCCGGGGTGCCCACACCGCCTGCCCCTCGGCACGCCGCAGCCTCGGAGCCTGGGCCCTCGACTTCCGCCTCCGCCGCCTCCCCCGCGCCGCCCCTCGCTCCCCAGACCCCCTCGCGCCGGTTCGGGGAGCCGTACACGTCGGTCGGAAGAAGTGGGTAGAAACATGAAGTAGGAAGGCGGATAAAGTGGATTGGGTCCAGGCCCTCCCAGAGAACCACAAAACACAGCAAAATCATGCCGATTCGTGAAGTAGGAAGGCACTTGAAGTAGATTGGGATCTGGGAATCCAAAAATACCTACTTTCAACGACGCGTGTAAGACTCGGGTACGGGGGACTCGGGTTGGCCTGCCTGGGGCCATCACAAAATGACGAGACCCAACCTGGAAATTGGCGCGGGCTCCCGCTGCAGACATCCCACGAAACCGGAACCGTGACCGTCAACATCCGGGACGCGCTCGTCAACAGAAAACTCGGCAAACCCGAGTTCCAGCGTACTCGAGTTTTACGTTTCCCCGACTGGTGAGCGTTTTTTATTCGGCGTTTCGACATTGGGCAGAAGGGGGGGGTCTGGCTCCGGATCTCTGCTTGGTGCGACTGTTTGGGACCGTGCGTCCTCTGGGGGAGACTCCACCTGCTCGAAACAGGCGCCCAAAACAGCCAAGATCTACTCCACGGGGGGGGAAGGGGGGGGGCGATTGCCTGCGACGATCGGCGAAAGAATGAATAACAAAAACGCTCACCTGTGCAAAGATCACGACGGGAGGTGCTCCGCTGTGTTCGGCCTCTGGGGCCCTCATCGGGCCACGGCAGCGTCAACAAAACGACTCAGGCCTTATGATGCGCCCATCGTACTTAAGGACCACATCCCATCAATAATTCCGAGCACCCAGAAAACTATCGAAACAGTGTCGAACGAGCATCGCCTCCCAGGGCCCAGCACGCGAAAACCGTCGAGCTTCGGTAGTTCCTTGGTGCTTGAAACTCTTTCTGGCGATCAAGGTTAAGCTAGGTTGGAACATCATAACTCAGGATGAGAGACTGGTTCTGGGGAGGGGGTCCAGACCTCTGGGGGTCGACGCCGTGAAACAGTCACGACGTCCGGGGGCCTGGGTCGCCCTCTCTCCGAGCACGCCTCCCAGCCATCCTCGTCTTCCGGCGTCCTCCTCCCGACGACCTATACCAAGTCCGCCCGCTACCCGAAGACCCACAATGTTCCCCGCCCCCCCCCCCCCGACTGGGAATGGAGGGCACATTGGGGCCGTCGGGTTGGGTTGGGGCTGGTTTGGACCAGTCCTCCCCGACCTGACCAAAGAAGACCCACAATGGTCCCCGCCCCCCCCCACGGGGAATGGACGGCACATTGGGACCATGTGGACGGTTTGGGGCTGGTTTGGACCAGTCCACCCTGACCCCCGAAGACCCACAATGCTCCCCGCTCCCCCCCACTGGGAATGTAGGCACAGTGGGGCCGTCGGGTTGGGTTGGGGCTGGTTTGGACCAGTCCTCCCCGACCTGACCCCCGAAACCCCACAATGCTCCCCACCCACCCCCCACCCCCACGGGGAATGGAGGGCACATTGAGGCCTCAGGGCCTTAGGGACGAGTTTGGGCTGGTTTGGACCAGTCCTCCCCGACCTGACCCCCGAAGACCCACAGTATTTCCCGCCCCCCCCCCCAGTGGGAATGGAGGGCACATTGGGGCCTTCGGGACTGGTTGGGGCTGGTTTGGACCAGTCCTCCCCGGCCTGAGCCCCGAAGATCTACAATGTTTCCCGCCCCCCCCCACTGGGAATGGAGGGCACATTGGGGCCTTCGGGACGGGTTGGGGCTGGTTTGGACCAGTCCTCCCCAGCCTGACCCCCGAAGACCCACAGTATTTCCCGCCCCCCCCCCCAGTGGGAATGGAGGGCACATTGGGGCCTTCGGGACTGGTTGGGGCTGGTTTGGACCAGTCCTCCCCGGCCTGAGCCCCGAAGATCCACAATGTTTCCCGCCCCCCCCCCACTGGGAATAGAGGGCACATTGGAGCCTTCGGGACGGGCTGGGGCTGTTCCGGACCAGTCCTCCTCTACCTGACCCCCGAAATTCCACAATATTTCCTGCCCCCCCCCACTGGGAATGGACGGCACATTGGAGCCTTCGGGTTGGTTTGGGGTGGTTTGGACCAGTCCACCCTGACACCCGAAGACCCACAATGTTCCCCGCTCCCCCCCCGCTGGGAATGGAGGGCACACTGGGGCCTTCGTGTTGGGTTGGGGTGGTTTGGACCAGTCCACCCGCACCTGACCTCCGAAGACCCGACCCACAATGTTCCCCGCCCCCCCCCGCAACTGGGAATGGAGGGCAAACTGGGGCCTTCAGGTTGGGTTGGGGTGGTTTGGTGCGTGGTGAGCTCCCTGCCCCTCCATCGCTGAGGTCAGGACGGGGGGTGGACGTGTGAAGCCTGTATCGCACGAGGGACATGTCGAGCCGCGGGCTTCGGTGCCCAGCTCGGGGTAGCCCCCCGTCGTTGGGTGAAGCGCGGCCCTCAGAGAAAGTATTCCCCAATCGTCGGGAAGAATGCGCACTGATTGGGCGTTGCGGGACCAGGTCGCATTCGGAGCTTCGGCTCTGGGTAAGGAGTGGTTGCGCTTCTCATTCGGATCGTGTCCCGATTCGCTCTCTGTGTTAGAAAAACAATCCAAGGAAAAACAGTCCCTCCTCCCTCGTTCCTCCTCCCCCCCTTCTACATATCCTCGTGCCTTCCTTCCTGCGCCAATGGCTTCGGTGCAAAGCCCACCACGCGAAGCGGCATAAGGCAGAGACCTGGAGTGGCTGGGTCAAGCCATTGGAGCCTGAGAGCAACGTGAGACGAGCACCAGCAAAAGCAAACTTCGACGCGAGAGCATCGGCCACGGACACACCCACCCGAGACACGACCCAGGCTGCTCGTGTGGGACCTACTCCTCCACCTCTTCCTCCTCCTCCTCTGACTGACCAACCCCTAGCCCTTCGGGAGAGGATCTAAGTCAGGAGGGCCAGGAATATTGTGGATAGGGGGTCTTTCGTGCAGCTGCATCGAACCAAACCGCCCATAATTATCATCCTTGATGCGAAGACGTGGACCTCAGCGAGGCGACGTCTTCATCGTGATATCAGGGTAAGTGGTTGTTTTATCCTCAATGATCCTCCTCCTCCTCCTCCCCTGCCTCGTCCTCCTCTCTCTCCTCATCCCCGCACGCCTGGGCCCCCCTCTCATCCCCAGACATGCGACGTCCTGATTTTTTCCCAACCATCCTGTGGTGTTGGGTCCTCGTTTTGAAGAGACGTCGCCCCGCGTTCCTTCCTCAGTCCTCCTTCCTCCTCCTTCCTCCTCCTCCCCTTCCTCCCCCCTCCTCCCCCTCCCACACCCATTCTGGCAAACCCCTCACACGTTTCGTGGCCCCATATGGGAGCTCCACCGAAGGCCCCAGTGGCTGCGCCCGCATGCGGTTCCACCCCCCATTCTGGCACACTCGCCACACGTTTCGTGACCCCATAGGGAGCTCCACCGAAGGCCCCAGTGGTTGCGCCCGCATGCGGTTCCACCCCACATTCTGGCACACCCCTCACACGCTTCGTGGCCCCATGGGTTCCACCCCTTCTGGCTCTCACACCCCACCATATAGCTCCACCCCCCCACCGAGGCCCCCAGTGGCTGCGCCCGCATGCGGTTCCACCCCCCATTCTGGCACACCCCTCACACGTTTCGTGGCCCCATAGGGAGCTCCACCGAAGGCCCCAGTGGCTGCGCCCGCATGCGGTTCCACCCCCCATTCTGGCACACCCCTCACACGTTTCGTGGCCCCATAGGGAGCTCCACCGAAGGCCCCAGTGGCTGCGCCCGCATGCGGTTCCACCCCCCATTCTGGCACACCCCTCACACGTTTCGTGGCCCCATAGGGAGCTCCACCGAAGGCCCCAGTGGCTGCGCCCGCATGCGGTTCCACCCCCCATTCTGGCACACCCCTCACACGTTTCATGGCTCCATAGGGAGCTCCACCGAAGGCCCCAGTGGCTGCGCCCGCATGCGGTTGCACCCCCAATTCTGGCACACCCCTCACACGTTTCGTGGCCCCATCGGGAGCCCCACCGAATGCCCAAGTGGCTGCGCCCGCATGCGGTTCCACTCCCCATTCTGGCACACCCCTCACACGTTTCGTGGCCCCATAGGGAGCTCCACCGAAGGCCCCAGTGGCTGCGCCCGCATGCGGTTCCACCCCCCTTTCTGGCACACCCTCACACGTTTCGTGGCCCCATAGGGAGCTCCACCGAAGGCCCCAGTGGCTGCGCCCGCATGCGGTTCCCCCCCCATTCTGGCACACCCCTCACACGTTTCGTGGCCCCATAGGGAGCTCCACCGAAGGCCCCAGTGGCTGCGCCCAGCATGCGGTTCCACCCCCCATTCTGGCGCACCCCTCACACGTTTCGTGGCCCCATAGGGAGCTCCACCGAAGGCCCCAGTGGCTGCGCCCGCATGCGGTTCCACCCCCATTCTGGCACACCCCTCACACGTTTCGTGGCCCCATAGGGAGCTCCACCGAAGGCCCCAGTGGCTGCGCCCGCATGCGGTTCCACCCCCCATTCTGGCACACCCCTCACACGTTTCGTGGCCCCATAGGGAGCTCCACCGAAGGCCCCAGTGGCTGCGCCCGCATGCGGTTCCACCCCCATTCTGGCACACCCCTCACACGTTTCGTGGCCCCATAGGGAGCTCCACCGAAGGCCCCAGTGGCTGCGCCCGCATGCGGTTCCCCCCCATTCTGGCTCACACGCGTGGCCCCATAGGGAGCTCCACCGAAGGCCCCAGTGGCTGCGCCCGCATGCGGTTCCACCCCCCATTCTGGCACACCCCTCACACGTTTCGTGGCCCCATAGGGAGCTCCACCGAAGGCCCCAGTGGCTGCGCCCGCATGCGGTTCCACCCCCCATTCTGGCACACCCCTCACACGTTTCGTGGCCCCATAGGGAGCTCCACCGAAGGCCCCAGTGGCTGCGCCCGCATGCGGTTCCACCCCCCATTCTGGCATACCCCTCACACGTTTCGTGGCCCCATAGGGAGCTCCACCGAAGGCCCCAGTGGCTGCGCTCGCATGCGGGTCCACTCCCCCATTTCGGCACACCCCTCACTCGTTTCGTGGCCCAAGGGCGCCACCGAAGAATATATCCACAATTGCGGTATTCACAACTACGTATGGTTGGGTCTTTCGTCAGGCTAATTTTCAGGACGGCGTCCGCAGCAGTCCCGACCCTTTCCCCAGGGCCGCTTTTTCATCCTGAGCCGTTTCTTGACAATCCCGGGGCCTGGCGAGGGCCCCCAGAGGCCGAATGTATCGAAAATCTCGCCATCGTGGCTTTCTTTACGACGCGATCATGTCTGGGTCCTCGTCCTTTCTTCTACGCAGAGGCCTCCTGCCGGTCGAGCACCTCCAGACGTGCCGGCAGGTCGCTGGAGAGCCCCTCATACGCAGCTACACTTGGGTCGGGCGTGTCCCCCTACAGGCGGATCTTGGGCGAAACATAGACGATACTTTCTTTCTCTTTGTGTTTAGTACCCCCGAAAAGGTAAAATAGTGGAAACATCGTCCCCGGACTACTTTGGGACTAGTCTTGAAGATCCCTCCTCTGCAGAGGGACAGGCCCGACTTATAACAAGCTGCACGGATTGAGGGAGGGTTGTTTTTTCAGCATGGGGGCCCTCCTGCCCTGCCGCCGGCGCGCCTCCGCCGAGCACTTGTGCGGCAGCTGCCCACGTGACGGTGGGCGCTGCCCTCGCGGAGCGGGGCCGTCGCCCGGAGCTGCTCCTCCACGAGAGACCAGGCACTGACACGCGTACGGACCAGCGCGCTCCACGACTCGCAAAAAGTAACTGCTCGCAAATGGCCCGGATCCGCCGCGGGGGATCTGCACGACACA